CCCATAAATTGTAAGCCGCCCTGAGTCCCCTCAGGGAAAAGGGCGGCCTATAAATAATAAACAAATACAAATACACTGCTACCTTGGTCTTACAAACATATTCCTTGTCCTCATTTGTCCGTTTGTCTAAATATAGTCCGGTTTCAGTCCTACTAATCTTCATTATTTTCTGGTTAATTGTTTGCGCTGTCAGGAGACTCTTATTTCTAGGTTAGGCCTCCCAGAATTCCCCAGATATAAGATGGGTGGATCATAGAATCCTAGGGCTGGAAGGGACCTTGGAGGTCTTCAATCCAACCCTCTCCCTCTCCCATTCCGGACAAGTGGCTGGGCAGCCTCTTCTAGGAAACCTGCAGCCAGGGAGCTCCCAGAACCTCAGGAGGCAACTCATTCCACTGACTAATTGTTCTCCCTGTCAGGAAATTCCAGCACGTTCTGGGCTGCTTCCATCTGCTGCTACTCGCCTGGTGCTTTGGAAAAGAGGCTGACCCCTCCTCCCCCATGACCCCCCCCCCACGAGGCCTCCAGCCCCAGACTGACCTCCAGCGATTTGCTTTCATACTCCTTCATAGCAGTGATGCACTGATGCTTGGTGCTGATGTTGGTGCTGACACCAGACTTCACCATGGTGTCCGTACCGGTTGGCGCCTGGAAGGGAAACGACAAAGGCACTCAATGGGAACGCAAGTCCTGGAGGGAGTCATGCGCTGGTGGTGCCTTATGGGCTTGAATGGGGCCTCCAAAGGCTGGAGCCTCTTGACCCGAGACAATCCAGGAAATCCTGCCAGGGAACTAGTCGGCCTGCAGGCCCAGGTTGCCTTTCGGGGGTGTGTGAATTTGCCCTGCTTTGCAGGGCAGGTCTCACCCTCCCCTCGCCTAGGCTCTGCTCCGAGTTCCGCTCTCCCTACCTGGAAGGCCGCCTTCATGGTCCTGGCCGTGTCTGCTGCTGCCCTTTCAGATGGAATGTGAGCAGGAAAGCTCCACCTGCCCCCCCGGCAGAGGCCCAGGGCCCCCCGTTTAGCCGATCTCGCCATCTTCCACTTCATCAACTGCTACAGAACCCTCAAGAATGGCGATTCCGTCCGCCCCTTAAAGGGGCCTCTGCTCTACCTAAAGCAACGCCGACGAAAGCCCCCCCCCACCCTTTCCTCTTTCTCACCCCAGGCCCAGGCAGGATACGGGGTGGGGTGGGGGGTGCACTGGACTCAGGGCAATGGGCACTGGCCGGCAGCAGCTTCCCAAGATGCTGAGAACGGCCTCTCAAACTGCCTTGGTTTGAGGTTTCTGTATGTGAGAGTCTCTATAGGCGAAGAACGCTCTGTCATAGCGCCATCCCTCAAGAGATGAGCTGCAGCAGTTGGAGAAAATATCTGTAACTCAGGATTGAACTGGGGAGGCCTTTGGCTCTCTGAGTTTGGTGGTTTTGTTGCAGATGTTTCATGACCCAACTAGGGAACACCATCACTTCTAGAAAGGAAGTGGGGTTTCTTTATATAGAGTGGCTTTCCTCCTGACCAGCAATCAACACCCAGCTAAGCAGAGATCGATATTAATAATCTGGCAGCAAGCAACACCCCAATTAAGGAACCCCTGAAAAACTCCCAACGCTAACAGGACAAGCCACTAGTACAGTGTTTCTCAACCTTGGCAACTTGAAGATGTCCGGACTTCAACTCCCAGAATTCCCCAGCCAGCGAATGCTGGCTGGGGAATTCTGG